GCACACGCGTAATACTTCAAGGCCGACCCGGCTACTCCTGTTGATTTGCTACCACGACAAGTCGTATCCGATGGAACAATAGGCGTTGCAATGGTGGGGAGCATGGCGCCTTTACAAAAGGCTGCCACGTTTAAGAAGTATGAGGCGCGTGTTCAACGGTTGCTGGAGCAGCTGCAATGGTACCAAAATCATAATCATCTTTTTAAGCGTGTCGAAGCTTCAGATGCCTTTACGAAGAGCAATGTTGCTACCGAAACGCAAGTCGCGCTGGATCGGACTGACGGGACCGCGGGTGGGGCTTCTCCGGGTAATGTAGTGGGTTTGGACGAGGCCTGCCGACGATGTAACGCTCCTGCACCACCTTTCGCAGATGCCGCAGAACCAGATGAAACTGAAGAAATTACCGACGTCGCTCTAGTCACAGACTACAATGTGGGGAGTGACAGTCAACGGGTGCAAGCTTTTATCGAGAGACAGAATGCCATTGTGCGCCGGTCTTCAAGTATACTCTCGGATTTTGATCCGTCGTTTTGGGTGTTTGTTTTTGTAGAGCTGAACCCTTTTGGTCGCGGAGGCCTGGATGAGCCGCGAGGAGTTCCAATCGGGCTGTGCGAATATTTAAAGTATTGCCTTCGGCTGTATTCTCGTCGTCACGCCAAGCATCATGCGTTCACGTTGGTAGCATTTGACGTGCTGGCGAGGCATCGGTCGATGCAAGCTGTATACTTGCGAGCGAAGATGGAGCCTACCGTCGTCGGATCAAGATGCGACGTAGACCGGGAGGAGCTTGTAGCTCATCTCAAGAGACAGGAGGAGCGATTAAAATTATTGTCGACGAACGTTATCGTGAGACCATGCCTCCAAGCGGACCAGAGTATACGAAACTTGTATTCATTTATTACTACGGGAATGAAAGCCAGCTATGGCTCTAACGAAGAGCGGTCGCAGGCAAGATCAAACCTGTTGTATATGCAACTCCAGTATGGCCAACCGTCAATATTTTTCACCCTGTCACCGAGCAGCTCGTCTTCTGTGCGGGTTGCAGCTTTTGCTGGAGATATCGACAACTCGCTTCTTGAGGCAATGACAAACACAGTTCAGGGGTCCCTGTATAAAACTCGAGCAGAGCTATGTACAGCAGCGACGTCAAACCCCATGGCTTGCGCTCGGTACGTGTGAGACAACGTGTTTTTTTTTATTATTTTTTATGCCAGCTTTTTTTTTAGCGTTATCAAATCTGTTGACTTGTTGACACAGGTACTACAACGCCATTGTTCGTCTGCTCATAGATGTTTTGCTCAATTATGCCCAAGACCGACAGTGTTCGCGACCCCGATCAGGTGGTTTCGGCAAAACGAAGGCGTATTTCTTATCAACTGAATCCCAGAATTCTACGGGTGATCTACGTGGCCACATGCTGGTGTGGATTGAAAACATGCCTACGACAACGGCACAGTACTATGAGCTACCGAAACATCGTGACTGTCAACACCGCGTCGATGATTATGTGTCGTCGATCGCCTCATCGTCTTTTCCGGTGAGCCTGGACAGATGCTCTAGCTGCTCGTCCACAGATATCGCTGCTATGCAATTTTCGCGCGAAGTGTTCAAGAAACCTAAGCGTGGTGCGTGCAGAGCACCTACCATAAAATGTGGCTCTTGTCAAATGGAATTTGGTGGGTCCGAGCTTGTAGAGCTGAACATTTTGCAGGAGGCTGACAGACTTCACGTGTCCCAAGACCGGATGAATGATGCATCAGTCTTTCGCAGAATTTCGATGCCTCAATCGCTTCCCCTATCCCCTCCAGGGTGCTCGGAGGAAAATTTATTGGTTATTATGGCTCTCCTGAATTACCAGACACATGCCTGGAATCATGCCCGGTCTTGTTTCAAGCAGACTAAGCGGACACCGGATGGAAAAAATTGCCGGATGTTTTTTTCGAAAGCCCACTTGTGGATTAACGTCGTGTAACGCTGATGTGTCCTTAAGTCTTGCGCGTGCTCTGGGCAGTGAGTATCTTAACACCTATTTTCCAATCGTGAACACCACATTGAAGACAAATCACGACGTCAAGTTCCTTAGTGCTGGCGAAGGTAAGGCAAAAATTTAGCCGGTATTAGTACGACTGAAATTGTGTGGCTAAACTGAACAATTCGTGTTTCTCTGTTGTGTAGGTTTGGAGAAGGCGTTTTATATGATGAAGTATACCACGAAGCCGCAAAATGAGATAGAAAGTCCGTCTGCTATTCACATTCACGCATTCGATAAAGCTGTAGCTCGGTGTGGGGACACCAATGACGTTATCTCGAAAGGAACGCGTCACGTTCAGTCTATTTGTTCCTCGCTTGCGATGCCCCAAGAAGTTCCTCTGGCAGCATTATTTATTTTATGTGGATCTCCGTTTTACTCTTCCTGTACTTTTGGAAAATTGTTTCTTGGGTCATATTTGAAAGTAATCTTTATAAGAAGCCCGAGGATGTGATTCTGCAGTCTGTAGGAACCGCGGAAACGTACCGACCTTCGAGTCCTTTGAGAGACTACATAGCACGTCCGGAGGAAATGGACGGTGTATGTTTCGTGGATTTGTTTCAGCGGTGGGAAAAAAGGAAAGGTTTAAAGGGACTCTGGTTTCTTTCGGGACATGCGCAAGTTGCCGCACATTCGTTGTACAGACGCGAGAAAGTTATATTGGCTACCATCGTCGGGTACAACTTTCCCAATAACAGAAATTACCAGCTCAGTGGGAAGCATTTATCAAGTTTCGACAAGCTATGCGTTTGCTTTTCCAACCGTTTCGATGCAGCCGGGACATAAATCCCTCAGGAATAGCACAGGGCAACTTTTACGAAACTTGGTGGAGGTCGATCGCCTCAAAAGAAGCCCGTCTTTTTGAAACGAATGCGATGGATTATTCCACTGCTCGTGAGCTGGCTCGGGCGCGAAACGATCCTGATATTGAGCGTCATAAAGACTGTGTTGAGGAGTATCACGAAGATGAAGACAGTAGTATTGGTGGAAGCGGTGTTGGGGCAGCAGCAAATTGTGGCATTGATAGTGACTTTGATGCCGAAGCTGATGTTCCCCACGATATTCCTGAATTCATTGGACGGTCGATTTCAAATATTTCGTTTTGGCCAAAACGTGAGCGTTCTGCTTCTCTGTCAGCTCGATCTAGTAACCAGCCTAATATGCAAGGCACTATTCCTCGCTTTGAAACGGCCGATATAGACCGCGTTCTCACGGAGTCTTCTAAAGTCCAGTCCGCTCGTGGAGAATCTATTTCTACCAGACCGCGCGCAGAAGAAACCTCCAACTCGTGTTGTTGTTCTGCACGACGATTGGACTGCAAGTGATTGGACAGATCCATTGCTGGATATGCAGCAATATTCGCCGCTGCATGCCCGTCCGTCTTTGCGAGACACCTCTCAGTTTTTTCGACTGAACAAAAAACAGCATAAAATGTTTGTCCGTGCTAGAAAATGTCTTTTGTCGTCGCTTACCACGGAGCGTGCGCGACCAGAAGACCAAATGATTGGATTCTTAGGAGGGCAACCTGGAGCGGGGAAAAGCCTAGTCATAAAAGCGCTCCAAGCGCTGACAGTTAATTGGCAATGTGCTGAAGCTATTGGTACTGTTGCGTACCAGGGCGTCGCGGCCCAGGATGCTGACGGTCAGACGTTATACAAGTTCTTTGGATGGTCGATTCACTCGAAAAAAAAAAGAAGCAGTCTTACGGAATGGAACAGAGAGAACGATTTGCCAAGTTGAAGATGCTGATTATTGACGAGGTGTCGACGATGGATAGCGGGTACATTGGTTTGGCAGACGCAGCTCTTAGAAATCTCGAAGGTGAGCCGGATCTTCTTTTCGGTGGGATTCATGTAGTACTGGTCGGAGATTGGCTTCAACAGCTGCCAGTCGCTGGGTACCCAGCTTATGCAATCCCTGATCCAAGCCGGGCAACAAACAAGAAAGGGAAACATGCCACGTTCCTTGATCGAGTGCGCGGTAACCGAGCCTACCAGGCGATAAATTACGTGGTAATACTCAACGAGAACATGCGTCACCGCGCCGATCCGGTGTGGCGAGACATTTTAAATCGCTGGCGAGTGGGAAATTATCTACAAGAAGACATTGATCTGGTTAACGCGAGGTGTTTCGATGATAATTGGTCAAACCCTGTTTCAGATTTAGACACGTACTGCCCGATTATAGTGACGTCCAACACACTCCGTACTGAATTCAACGAGGTGGCGACAATTGAATTTTTTAAAGCCTGTGATCAAATTCTGCACGAATTTCCGGCTATTATCTCTCGTAAGAAAGGATCTTCTCTCTCTACCAGTCAACGTCGCAGCTTAAATAATATTCGCGACGATAAAAGCGCCGGGTTACCAGCTCGACTGAGGATCGCTGTAGGGATGCCAGTACAGTGCTCCAAGAATTAATCTAACTCGTTGCGACTTGCAAATGGATCTATTGGCCAGGTAATTTCGATACAAGCCGCGTCTTTCGAAACGACGAGACAAATCTTGCGCGACGGCATTACCAGTCTCATTTACGCGTCCCCTCCTGAGTTGGTTCTGATCCGGTTGTGTTCTCACCCAAACTGCTCCTTTCTCGATTTCTTGCCTAATGGAGTAGTTCCAATTAGGCCCCGCCACGAAGCCTCTGTCCAGGTCAAGTTACCCGTTCGTTCTTTCAGTGTGCACATCGTTCAAACCCCGCTCGTACCGGCGTTCTCCCTCACGAGTGAAAAATCTCAAGGATTAACTGTTCAAAGAATGGTTTTAGCCCCGTTGGGCTACTCTTCGAGGAGTACCCCGCAGAAGTCGTCGTTTTACGTTGCCGTAACACATGTTACCACAATGGACGAGCTTTTTTTAATGGAAAAGTTAACACTTGACTACCTCAGCTACTTTTCGCCCGAGTTTGCAGCGTTAGCTGAAACAGAAAGGTTAGAAGCGATGGAAAATAGTCAAAAGTAGTTGAGTTCGGTCTATTACAATTGGCTTTGTAAATTGCATATCTCCTCAATATATTCCACAATACATGTCTTATTAGCACACGAGCTGGTTCCTTCGCACAGGAACACTTATTGTTGACTACATTCCGGCAATTGCTCTTTCCACGTTTTTTGCGGTTTGGATGTAAATTCCCTTTCACCCTCCGTCGCGCTTGTCTTTTTCTGGCCCTCGGTGACGTAGCACGAACTGTCCAAAGTTGTCTGCCTCAGTTTTTTGTCATTTCCTTTGGCGTAGAGATGTAGATCAGTACCGCCGAAATTCTGGATCGGTGATGCGTCACGATTTGTACAGTATACAAACAGATAAAAGCTTTTCTAGTTTTACTTTTTCAATAACCTCAGCTTTTCTCACCCTTTTCTCAGTGACAGACTGTATTTTTATTCGTGCTCCCATTTTTTCTTTTTCGCTTTCATCGCCGCACACTTTTCCTGGATTAAACTCGTATTTTCTTTGGGTTTTCCTGCTTGACTCACCTAAACCAAGTTGGTTGTCACTTATACATTTTCGCCGTTCAACCTGCCTACTCTCGGCTATGAGCGACTTACCTAACGGGTACCTATCACCCCTGTAATCATTAAGTGACGGCGAGGACGATCTTGACAAAGTTGTTGCCTTACAACGAACTCTACGGGTCCCTCTCATTACGTCGGTATCTCAGATGATCGCGTGGCTAGCCCTTCCGGCACGAAACGTACCCCCACTGCAGACATTGAAATGGCTCTCTTCTCTTTTCGCCAGTTCCAGACAGGATATTTTTTAAACTTCGTTGACCGGAAGCGCACTATTGGCTTTTTGAAAACAAAGGAGTCCCTGGAGTCGCTACAGTTTTCGCTTCGGAAGAACTATATTATCTCTATTTTCTGTACTTGGTACCGTTTGGATCCAAGAACTCAACTGCAGGCTCATCGCTCCCTCCATTCCAGTTTCTTGAAGGATCCGTCGTTCGATGCAACCATGTCACTGGTTTGCACATCCAGGACGGCCTGGCAATCCTCAAGGGCAACGTGAGCAATCTCCATCGGATATCTCTAGTTTCCGCTCCAGTTGCAACCGCCTCAACCTCTACTACGACTCTGAGATCCACGCCTACTCATCCCGGTCCACTTGTCGCCGCTTCAAAATCAGTGCCAACCGAGTCTACCTCTACTCCGGAGCAGAACTCAGTACCTGCCCCTATCGATCCACTTGTTGTCGCATTTGGTGCAGTTGGCCAGCTCCCCCTTCGGAAGTATCTGTGGAACGACCCGTGGAATCTACCGACAATGTTGGATCTGGCC